TTATTCTTAAAGTAAGGAGGCAAGTCTATGTAGGATCCACCTTTGAATGGCATGTAGCTTGCTAACCTCTCAGATACCTATCCACAGCGTGCTTTGTGGGCATGAATCGCACTGACCAACTTGGTGTCTCCCAGCAATGTTAACAGTTGTGCTTTTACCATACAAGAATAATTTTTCAATCCGCGACTTTTTGCGAGAGCTTTGAGCTCTTTTACTGTGGGGGGCTTAACATATTTAATGTCCAGCAATGTCAGCAATTTGGCTTTCCTCTTGCCTGAATAACCAGTCATACCATGACTTTTCGCGAGAGCTTTCAGTTCTCTGACGGTAGCCATGGTTATAGCCTAAGTAATTATTTATCTCTAATAGGACTTTCATAGCCCATTATATTGACTGTTTTTTATTCTTATAATACAAATTTCTGTTTGCTTTCGCCACACTTCCATGCTCCTTTCATAACTTCAAAGGAGTTCTCACACCTTTTCCGCATATATCGCAAACATAGTTCATGCAACCTCTTTTTATAAGTTTCATGTGCTGAGAGCATCGGGGCCTCTACAGTTCTTATTACACAAATCGGTCATACCGAGAACACTTATTCAAAACCATTTTGATATACTCAAAATGAGGCACTCTTTTAATTTAGCGATAAAAGTAACATTTAGCGCTATGTTTCATATCACTAAAACGATGATGACCGTAAAAGAGCTGTGATCTGAGGCTAAAAAAAGACGTCTGGTTGGCTACTCCGATCTGACTAAACCAAAACTTATAGAACTTTTGAAAGAACAAGAGATCATATTCACACCAGCAGATCTTACAGTGGAAGGCTTCCTAAGAACTTGGAGAATGCGAGTCAATGAAAACATAAAACTGGATAGAGTCAAACCCATTATATACGACAAACTCAGGATGGAATTGTTTGATCTGGTTAGCATGCAGTATCAACTTCCAGTAAAACTATACATAATGAAATCCTCAGGATACATGAGCGATAGGTCTGAACTACTTCTAGTAGGAGGGTTAGAACCAATCAAAGAATCATTGCCTAGATCCATAAATTCAACACTTCTGACAACATCATGAAACTAGCCCCTTTAACCATGAAAGATGACACGTTAAGGGAAAGCATCGACGCATCGAAAAAAACAATAGAGGAAAAACTATACGATTCGGTTAAACCCGATGTGAAATGGTTCTTTAACAAACTCAGCGATGTTTACATCAATGTAGTCAATGCATCTCCAATACGTAGTGGATCTTACCTCAAACTACCTGCTTATTATTCGAGAAGACAACTGCTTAAGATGGGCATTAAGATCTGGCCAAAACTCAATTTGGCTATCAACAATTTGGCTATCAATGTCTTCGGAGACAATGAAGGCATCGTTGAATATCGAAAGTTAGCTCGCGACCCACAAATATTCCACATTCATTTTTTCCTAGTCGAGAAGGGCAGTAAATTTCATTACACGTGGATTAAAATATTAAACCGTTTCCTATTCGATCCAAGCATTCACCCTGACAAGAAGTACTTTCTGTCTGCAAGGCGCCTCATCAAATGAGCACGTTAGTTCAGGGGTAGACAAATACTAGCCGACAGACAATTAATGGAAAAGATGTTGAAAGAGGACTGTTGCAAATTAGGCATTATAAACGGACTTCGCCACTCTTTTCTTTATTAAATGTTAATCTTCCTGAGTCTCTTAAATTCACTAATCAAATCTGCATGCCTTTTATTGATAGGTTTCATTCTTACTTTGTCAGCCCCATGTGCTTTGCACAAAGAAGACAATATTCAGTCATACAGCGTTTTCCACATTTCATGGGTTTACCCAGCAATACCCACTTACAATGGTAAGTTCCCAAGGTCCACATACTTGTATACACATAAGGTACACAAATCTCTAAATGGTTGTTTAAACGCCCATGCACATTCCATGCTCAGCCACAGCATTGTATAGAAAGTAGGTCAGGAATGTTTAACCACTGAGCTGACTCAAGTCCACACACACACACACAACATTGTACAGAAAGTAGGTCAGGAATGTTTTACCACTGAGCTGACTCAAGTCCACACACACACACACACACAACATTGTACAGAAAGTAGGTCAGGAATGTTTAACCACTGAGCTGACTCAAGTCCACACACACACACACACAGCATTGTATAGAAAGTAGGTCAGGAATGTTTTACCACTGAGCTGACTCAAGTCCACACACACACACACACACACAACATTGTACAGAAAGTAGGTCAGGAATGTTTAACCACTGAGCTGACTCAAGTCCACACACACACACACACAACATTGTACAGAAAGTAGGTCAGGAATGTTTTACCACTCGAGCTGACGCAAGTCCACACACACACACACACACACACAACATTGTACAGAAAGTAGGTCAGGAATGTTTAACCACTGAGCTGACTCAAGTCCACACACACACACACACACACACAACATTGTACAGAAAGTAGGTCAGGAATGTTTAACCACTGAGCTGACTCAAGTCCACACACACACACACACAGCATTGTATAGAAAGTAGGTCAGGAATGTTTTACCATTGAGCTGACTCAAGTCCACACACACACACACACACACAACATTGTACAGAAAGTAGGTCAGGAATGTTTAACCACTGAGCTGACTCAAGTCCACACACACACACACACACAACATTGTACAGAAAGTAGGTCAGGAATGTTTAACCACTGAGCTGACTCAAGTCCACACACACACACACACACACACACACACACACACACACACACACACACACACACACACACACACACACACACACAACATTGTACAGAAAGTAAGTCAGGTCTAGAGATATCGAGCCAGGCTTTCGCTATGCTTGGCGTTTGCTTGATGTTTGCTTGTATTTGCTTGATTTTGCTGGGAGTTTGTTTGGATTTGCCTGGAGTTTGGCTAGTTTTCTTGGGGATTTCCCAAACCATGGGGAGGAAAATGGGAGAGGATGGGATTTCCATTTAGACATATAGGAAGGAAACCAGTTTCTACCTAGTTTGCCTAATTTCTGCCTAGATTGCCTAGTCTGCCTAGTTTTCCATATAGACAATTGTGCGATGTAGATATATAGTACAAACAAAATGCCTCCGAAAAGACAACTATCGCAAGACCAAGTGGAAGAGATTCACAAGATACGTGGAAAAATCTCTGCACAAGAAACGAAAAAACGATTTGGAATCGGTTCCAATCGACTCAGCAAAATATGGAATACAGTAGAAGATATGCAAATAGCTTCAAAGCCCATTTCCTCCTGCCCGCTACAAATCCGAACTCTATCACATCTGTATTGCCAACCACAGAACCGTCTACCAACACCCTCTTGCCCGGCCGGGCGAGATAACTCAAAATCCGGACGTCGACCTCCAGCACAATCAGATATTGCCTCCTGCAGAACCGCCGATGCTGCCCACCGTCCAGGACTTCTACGCTCGTCTGGGAAGATCGAGGTCCGTGGCGGAGCAAAACGCGACGATGTTGTCGGCTCGTGTGGAGCAAACAATGAATTTGTTGGTCTTGTCTAGGCTGGACAAGGACGACAATGATGACGAAGAACTCTGGGAGGAAATAGAAAGCATCTAGGAGGAACGAGAAGAGACCCATAGGAATATTGAGAAGGTTCGGCAGATGGTAGAATCGATGCAAAAGTGGACCTACTTTTCGATAATTGCCTTGTTTCCCAGGAAGCTCGTCCACAAGACCTGGAAGCACAGCACACCGGCCCACATACCGGTCGACAGACAGGCCAACGAGAAGACAGAAACGACCAAACCCCGGGACCCCCACTACATAGAGTAGAAAAAAAAGCTGTGTACGCAGTTGGAAATATAAATATAGAACTAAATATTTTCAAGCAATGCATATTGTATACAACAGAGTAAATCCCATTCGAGGAATTCAACAAAGCAGAGGCTGCATACTTGAAAGAGAACCCCATGGAGTATTCTTCTGTGGAGGAAAAGCTACGAGAAATAGCTGGGAAAGGCCTAATAGACCGACCAGCTCGTATACTAGGCCACTTTGGCAAAGATACGTCAAAACGGTTTGCAAATCGGAGCAGAATGTAGATCGTTGGATACGCTGGTGGTATTCTATTCTGCATTCCTGGTGGGACTATTTATTTCTAGTTTGTATACCACAGACACCAGTTTATCTTTGTTTTTGTGCAGTGTCGTCTTTTCCGGGTCTATTCTACAGAGAAGAAAGCTGTTTGCTTTCCTTCTCTAGAAAGTATCCATACATTGGTATTTCTATGTCTGTAGTGGCAGCAGATACAATACAATTCTTGCTTTCCCTCGGAATAGCATACAGCAAACTTTCTGCACATTTTTTTTCCAGGTTCGACTTCTAGAAGTTTGATCGTGTCCTTTTGAATTAATGCCGTTGCAGCTTTTATCGCTATAGTTTGCATTTTTTCGTCCAGTAGGTCGTTGTAGCCTTGCTCTATCGAAGATAGCTTTCTAGGATCTGGGGCAACGACTACAGATTGGAAAATCTGGAAACGTTTGGCTTTTTGGTTCCATTGCATTGGGGTTGCCGAAACTCCTGGTGCCCTACAGATTTTGTGGCTCCTATAATTGGAAGTTTGAGCAACCTTGGTGTCGGTCGAAAAAAGGATTTGAGGTTGCTGAAAAAATGGGTTGCCCTAGCTTAAAATGAGATTCATAGAACGATGTCTCCGCTCAGGGGGATCATCATTTTTGCTAGGCGCCATGGCCGGAATTAGACAGAAATAACGCCCTAGGAGGAAGTGGTCAAGAACCCCATTATGTAGACTGGTATGTCTTAATTTTAACCCGACTGTCGGGCAGGTTTATTTTGAGATTCTGGCGGTCGGGAAGGGCAGATATTTCGAACACTGGTTCTTGGGGAAATGTGAGAATGGTAATGGGGACAACATCTATGTTAAGAGCTTGGATTACTCAAACTGAGTTTCCTCACTGATTCTTCTTCCAGCCCAAGATATACTGTTCAACCCTACAGGCAGAAACCGAGTTAACTTCAACTTGGCCAACAACACTGGGGTTACAATCAACAGTTCAACAGTTCAAAGTAAGGTGATCTGTGTATATTTAGAACTGATCTAAATTCCAAAATATTCCTTGCTTGGTATTTTTTGTAAACTTTGTTCCATGGAGTTCATTAAACACATGTCGAACAATGGCTGTCGTGACAAACGTTTGCTATCTTACTACCCCACACTGACTCACATGTTGGACGATGGTTGTCATGAGAAACAGGTGAGACTGTATGCTACCGAACTGTCTCACACTGACTCACATGTTGGACAATGGTTGTCATGGCAAACAGTTGAGACTGTACACTACCCTACTACCCCACACTGACTCAAAGGTTGGACAATGGTTGTCATGACAAACAGGTAAGACTGTACACTACTCTACTGCCCCACACTGAAACACATGTTGGACAATGGTTGTCATGACAAACAGTTGAGACTGTACACTACCCTACTATCCCACACTGACTCACAATGTTGGACAATGGTTGTCATGACAAACAGTTGAGACTGTACACTACTCTACTATCCCACACTGAAACACATGTTGGACAATGGTTGTCATGACAAACAGGTGAGACTGTACACTACCCTACTACCCCACACTGACTCACAATGTTGGACAATGGTTGTCATGGCAAACAGGTGAGACTGTACACTACCCTACTACCCCATCCTGACTCACATGTTGGACAATGGTTGTCATGACAAACAGGTGAGACTGTACACTACCCTACTACCCCACTCTGACTCACATGTTGGACAATGGTTGTCATGACAAACAGTTGAGACTGTACACTACCCTACTATCCCACACTGAAACACATGTTGGACAATGGTTATCATGACAAACGTGAGACTGTACACTACCCTACTATCCCACACTGACTCACATGTTGGACAATGGTTGTCATGACAAACAGGTGAGACTGTACACTACCCTACTATCCCACACTGACTCACATGTTGGACGATGGTTGTCATGAGAAACAGGTGAGACTGTATGCTACCGAACTGTCTCACACTGACTCACATGTTGGACAATGGTTGTCATGACAAACAGGTGAGACTGTACACTACCCTACTACCCCACACTGACTCACATGTTGGACAATGGTTGTCATGACAAACAGGTGAGACTGTACACTACCCTACTATCCCACACTGACTCACAATGTTGGACAATGGTTGTCATGACAAACAGTTGAGACTGTACACTACTCTACTATCCCACACTGAAACACATGTTGGACAATGGTTGTCATGACAAACAGGTGAGACTGTACACTACCCTACTACCCCACACTGACTCACAATGTTGGACAATGGTTGTCATGACAAACAGGTGAGACTCGGCTCACTTGGTGGGAATTTACTAGTGATAATGACTATAAATTTTGGTTCATGATGGCCAAAAGTATTCCAGCATGAACATTCATATTGAAATGTATATTCTTCTTCTGACAAATAGCAATTTGTTGATTCAGTCAAATACAACGATTTTCAGTGTAAAGCTTGTGTTGTTGATTTGCTTTTAAGTTATTATTATTCCATGCTACAATCAATAATTATTTCATTATGAGTATGATTACACCTGGGTTTTTTAGTGCATGTGTTCTATGTCATATCTATTTATTTTTCCTTATCCTGACTTTGCTCATCACCTTCTTCCTTCGGCGGTTATGTGGAAACTTGAATCCCTTCCAGTTCCCTGAAGTGAAAGTATAATCACTCACACTCATCCTTATCTCCTGCCAAAAGGCACCCATGTGACCATGGGCATGCTGTCCTCTCTCTTCTTCATTGCCCAAGCTTACGGTTGGGTGGTCTCTTCAGGGTCTCTTCAGGCTTATATCCTTTTTTACTTTGGGCTTTTGACTCAAATTACGCCGTGAATGGAATATGTGTGATATACTCCATCATATTTATGAAAAAAAATGTATAAATTAAGTCTAATCTTTGAACGTTTTCACTCCGTTCCAGGTGAATGTTTGTTTCATGAAGTCATGTAAACAATGCAAGTATCTAGTCTCAGCGTTTGACCCGCACCCTGTATGCTCGGCTTGTGTCTTGAACTCATGTTCTTTATTATGACGATTTATGCAAAACTTTGGATAAGGTGCGGCGTTCCAGCAAAGTCTACACTGAGAAGGGTGAAATGCAGTCATCTGATCGTGAGTTGTTGCCATCTACTTGTGCAGAGAATAGCCGTATTCCTGCCCCTACCATGTCGTCGGAGTCACCTCTCGTGGTGTCCCCTGGTGCTGCAGAAATAGCGTCTCAGCCCCCGGCTAAGAGGAAGTCCCCTCCTATGGAAGGATATGAGGTGCGGCATAAGAAGAAGAAGTCGTACTCCTCTACTAAGAAGCCCTCTACATTGAAATCGTGCCAGTCATCAAGATCTACAGCTCCTGTTACTATTCAACAGTCGTTTGCGGACGACCTGATGCCTGGTGCTGAATTAGACGATTCTACATACTCAGACCCACTGGCATTAGAACTTGAGATTGTCATCAGATCGTCTCAACATTTGACTACATCCAGGGCTTCAGGGTGGCCGAACCCTTCATCGCAGAGCAGACGAACTTCATCTTCTACGTTGTTCAGGCAGTCTACACCTCGCAATTCCTCAACCAAAAACATCAGAGTGTGTGAACCCTCCTGCTTGCAGTCGTCCGGCTTCGACGCAGCAATCATCGAGGTGGGTGAACCTCCCCAGACATTCATCTGATACTCATCTCCGTCAGCAGTCATCTCATAACCCGTTACCACATGACCGACGTCTATGGAGGAGCCTACGGCGATTGTACTTCATCAACATATGACGTCCTGTGCGCAGTCCTTCAACCCAGATGACTTTGTAGATGACATCACTAGGAGGGTGGTTCAAGCTATGACACAGAGGTTGGAATTAGAGAGCTATCAGACAACTGGTCACTCATGTGCAGCCTGCGGGAACCCCTCAGCCTGCACGAACTCTACAACCTGCTCGAACCTGTCAGCCTGCGGGAACCTCACGGCCTGCGCAAACCCTACTGCTTGTTCAAACTCAACCGCCTGCGCGAACCTCTCAGACTGAGCGAACCCTACAGCTATGTCAGAGGACAACCAACAGGATGAGGAGAATTCCTTCATCTATACCGATGCGGAGGTGTTATCCTGGGTTGCAGATGGCCTGCCTATTTCGTCGCCTACTCAGGACTCCAATCCAGCAGAGACGTATTGTATGACAAATGAGGATTTTGTCATCACAATCCCACCTATAAAGTCGATATCTCAAGTACCCGAGAATCCTAAGATGGCCTTTGCGAAGACTACGAAGGCACAGGGTAAACATACGCCTTTGTTTAGCACTCATAAATTCCCTCTACACAATATGAACCCCTTTGTCAAGGCGCCGTATATTGATGAGGATTATCATCTCCTCAGCAACTTGAAGTCCCATAGTTACAGAGTTGAGTGAATTATGGGATGGAGTACAGCTGATCAAACTAACTCCTTAGAACAGTTACAGTTAGAAGCAGCTCGTATAGTGACAGGACTTCCAAAATATACTTCTCGTGATCATTTGTATTTTGAAACTGTTTGGGAAACCCTTAGTGAACGTAGAAGAAAAGGAAAACTTTGCTTATTTTATGAGATTATTCACAATATTGCACCATCATACCTCCAGGAATTACTACCTACATATGTTGGCCAAAAATCATCTTATAACCTTCACAACTCTTTAAACTTCTTCTTTCCATTTACGAGATTGAAACTTTCCTTATCATCTTTTTTTCCATCTACTATACGAATGTGGAACAATGTGCCCATAGAAACAAGGAACATAGATTCTTTAGCAGGTTTTAAATTGAAAATTCAAAGTAAAATAAATCCAGCCCCACCTTTCTTTTGGTCTGGTACAAGGAAATTGAACATTTTTCACACAATACTAAGGTACAATACAAGTCCGCTTAATTACGAGTTATTCAATAAGATCAGATGCTTCTTGTACTTGTGGTTGTTCTCGTGAAAATTCATGTCATTATCCTTTAGAATGTTCTTTGTATACAACGCAGCGTAAAGATTTGTTTGTAAATGTAAATACTGTCGTTAAACATCGCATACCCATTAAGAGATTTATTGTTTTTTGGTCATGTTACACTAACACTATATGAAAATGAATGATTATTTGAACATGTACACAGATATATTAAGCTCACTGAAAGATTTTTGTAGTTTTATTCTTGTATATATACACATCCTCTTTAAAGACTTTGTTAATTCATTTCACAAATCCCTGTTGTCAATGTTTTTCAATATTGTAAATATGATATATGTAATTTCTGGGAGAGGGCGTTCCTAAGTTGGATAACTTGTGCCCAATCCATTTAATTTTCGAATAAAATATATTTAAAACAAAAAAACACAGAGTTGAGGATAAGAAGATGGCTCAACTTGACACCACCACAAGGAAGGCGATTTTCAGGCTTGCTAGATCCAGGGCTATCAACGAGGCTGTTATGAATGCCTTCAAGAATCCTACAACAGAGGAAGAGAGGAGATTTTATCAGCGCTTGTCAGTCAACGTAATTCATCTCTGATCACTTAACTTCAACATTGGTGGGCATCACATTATTACATCGTCAAGGACTCCTAGGATCCTGTAACTGTCCGGACACTTACACCAAGCCTCTCTTAAGGAAACCTTGGGCAGCACCTACGCTATTTGACGGAAGTATTTGGCAGATGTTCTGGGAAGTCACACAGGACTCGAAAGATCAGATGCAGACCATGAACAATATGTTCCGGGCAGAAGTTGCAACGTAATCAACTGCGGTCACGTTTTTCCGGCATCCAGAGAACTAAGGAAAAGAAATACCCCACTTCACATGATGGCAAGGCAACAGTTGAAGGCAATGCCACCACTCACTGTCAACCCACAGGTACATCGGTATCCCAAACTTCAACGTGTCAAGTTGACAGAGGCCATAGACACACTACTAGTAAAGAATGCTGTATAGATCTTAGATCAAGACGAACTCTCACCCGGGTTTTATTCTCCAGTTTTCCTGGTACCGAAAAAGAACTCCAAGGAGAAGTTCCACCTCATTTAGAATATGAAGCGGTTCTACCTAGATTACTTACTAAGACCGGGGCTAGTTGAAGAGGCTACATTTGCCTTAACTGCAAGATCTAATCACACCCAACGACTACTTAGCCAACATGGATCTGCAAGATGCATACCTACACATCCCCATGCATCCAGAGTCGAGAAAGTATCTACGATTTCTCTACCAGGGGCAACATTACCAATGGAAGGTCGTCCCCTTTGGAATTTTGTCGGCCCTGATGCTATTTACACGTATAACCAAGCCCATAGTTGCACAATGCCTTCTACCTAGATGATGGGATTCAGGCTCATCAACAAGCAGATCAACTCAAATGTCAACTCAAGTTCACGATCGAACTACTGACGCAGTTAGGCTGGCAAGTCAACCAATTAAAGTCGGATTTATAGCCATCTCAGGATCTACAGTTTCTAGGCATCAGGTTTATCACCACGAAGAACTGCATTATGGTACCGGAAGACCGATGGTTGAGCATTCAGGCAAGTCTACCAGATGCCATCAACACTCCACTAGACATAAGATGGTGGCAACGACTCCTAGGTCTCTTGACATTGGCTCAGGCTCTCACACACAGAGGAAGGTTACAACTACGTCCGTTACAACGCTTCCTGATAGCTCATCTAGACAGCTTCAAAAGAATTACCATTCCGCTGCACCTGAAGTCATATCTACTTTGGTGGACAGTCAAGTCGAATGTCTGCAGAAGAACTTATTTACGAGAGCCGGCTTACAACCTACGTCTCTTTGTGGATGCATCACACCAAGGTTGGAGTTTCGGTAATAGTCCTTACCTTAACATATTGACTCGCGACACCAGTTTCGGTAATAGCCCTTAGTTTAACATATGGGTCGTCCAAGATAACTAGACATCGAGGCGTACTAGTTGATCTTAAAATCCATGAAATCTATATGATTTACTGCTTTTACGTATGTAAGAGAAGGTGGTCTCCCGGTTATGATCAGGAAATTGAAGCATTCAAGCCGCAAGCTGAGTTCCCAAGGGGTATATGAACAAACACTGACGTCATCCCGTAGGTGGCTAACCCACCACCTATTCCATCGGATTCAATCAGGAAATATAGCATTAGTCAGGATAAGGGAAAATATATAATGTTTCGGGTAAAATTGATACTAGTATATTATACTTATTCAGACTCATGAGATAAAGCCCTCCCAACCGTCCCCTCTCACCACTACTGGCTTCCCTGTAAGCCTTTGTGGGGGCTTATTCGGAGAGAGCGAGGACAGCATGTCTATGGTCATGTGGGTGCCTTTTGGCGGGAGATAAGGGAGGCAACTCCAGGGTGAGTGATTGTACGTTCGCTTCAGGGAACTGGAAGGGATTCAAGTTCCCAGTTAACCGTCAAGAAGGAAGAAGGAGATAAGCAAATATAGCATGAGTCAGGATAAGTATATGATATCAATTTTATCCGAAAAATCACATTTTTCAAATTTAAGTTTTGTGGTGGGTTTCATGATGAAGTCTACCCTAAAACCTGCAATGTCTACTTGCCCTTAATCATGGTTTGGAAATATTCTAATAGGTCTATATATGTTCTATGTCTATGTACTTAATTTGAGCTCAAATCTCACAGTTTGTTTTAAATGTTTGTATATTTTCAGTGCTGAGTTAAGCTAAAACATTTTCTCCTCTGTGTTTAAGACCGCCTCCGTGGTGTAGTGGTTAGAGCGTCCGCACGGAGAGTGGAAGGTCGCGGGTTCGATACCCAGCCACTTCATACCAAAAGACTTTAAAATATGGTACTTGTTAGTCCCTGCCTGGCGTTCGGCATTAATGGGTGTAACAAGGACTGGTCTGCTCGGAGTCAGTATAATGTGTCTGTGTGGGGTACTCATGCTTCACTGCGGCATGGTATCTCAGTGGGCTAGCACTATAAAACCAGCTTAAGTCTGGGTTAGTACAAGCAGCCACACATACCCATACACATGCATGCACGTCATCATATGAGCGAAATATTCTCAAGCACGATGTTAAACCCAATTTCACCTCACCTCACCTCTGTGTTTAAAGCTCATTCATTTCATTGTTTCAGTTGGGTTGGATACGCAACTTAGAAATATCATTGGTAGGTACCTTTTTTGTTCTGTCCATTTGTGTTTTAAATTCTTTTCTCCTTCTTTTCATCTCTAATCCTATTTTCCCACCACTGAGAACACAGGGATTTGTTCAAGAGGCTCCAATCTCCTTTTCATTTTAGACATATTGAAAAATCCATTATTTGGCATAACTCGGGTAGATATCTTTTAACAATTGAAAGGAGTTGCAATAATTTGCTAAGCATTCTGAAGAGTTGCAAATACACTTTTGAAATTCAAGTAATAATAAACACAAGGATGACAAGAAGTGTTACTCCTTCTGGTAGAATTGTCATTATCAAGTCTTTGCTTTGTTCAAGATTGAATTATTTGTTTCTTCTTATCCCTAACTGTTGTTACGAGTGGAGAGATCACACAACAATTTAAAATAGTTTTAATACTGGCAGTCTATACATATATACAAATGTTCAAAACAAGTATCATGGTACATGTTAAAAGTCTTACTTTGGTTATCACACGGATATACAATTGTTCCTGCTCCATCACATTCCTCAGAATAATAACACATATAATCCTTCACATGAAATCACTCTATGCCGACATGGCATATTCAAGTAGACAGTTTAAACTTGCCGACATGGCCAAACCGTTCAGTTCACTCCCGACCTGGGCACTGATCACTGTGTGTGTTACCTTGCTTGAACAAGTCAAAAACCCAAGCTACAATTATATAACATCGTTGTTTCATTACCCCAGCTTACTTATAGACAATGGAGAGTGGTCACTGGTAAGCATAGCTTCTCAGTTAAGGTGAACAGGTATTTTAGGGAATGTAAATATATTTTAGAATGACTTCAGATTTATAAATATATATACAGAATTATGTATAGATATATAAGACATTCTCATAACATTCCCCCTCTTGAAAAAGAAGTTTTGCATGTTGAAAAACTTCAGTGTAAAACTATGTACAACATTTGTCATAAACACATTCACATAATGTCCGCACATTCAAGATGTCTCATTTGTCAATTTGAAACAGGCTTTGGATTACAGTTCATACAGTCAAGGTAATCATGACTTCTTGTCCCAAGCTACATTGCCCGTGGAAGAGCATCAGCCAATATATTGTCTTTTCCCTTGATATGACGAATGTAAAGGTCAAAATCTTCCAGCTGTATACTCCAACGCATTAATCGCTGATTTTTGTTCTTGAGCTTTTTCACAAACACAAGTGCATTGTGGTCCGTGAACACTAGAATTGGTGTCACCGTAGTGCTCAGATACACTTCGAAGTGTTGGAGAGCTAGTATTAGTGCCAATGTCTCCTTCTCTATTGTAGAGTAGTGTTTTTGATGACTGTCAAATTTCTTGCTGAAGTAGCAGATGGGATGATCTATCCCCAAAGTGTCTTCTTGTTGTAACACTGCTCCTGCTCCTATGTCACATGCATCAACACAGAGCTTGAAGGCTTTGCTGAAGTCAGGCACTACTAGCACAGGCGCATTAGTCAGAATAGCTTTGATTTTCTCAAATGCCTGCCGTTGACATTCTTCCCAGATAAATTTGCAGTCTTTCTTCAGTAGGTTGGTCAGTGGTGCTGCTACTTGGGAAAAGTTCTGGCAAAAACGACGATAATATCCAGCCATTCCTAAGAATCTCATCAATTCCTTCCTGTTTGTAGGTTCTGGATACATGTTCACAGCTTGTATTTTGGCCTGTACTGGTTTAACTTCACCTTGTCCCACAACATGACCTAAATAAGTTACTGTGGCTTTCACAAATTCACTCTTGGTCAAGTTGATAGTGAGTTTGGCTTGTGTTACAGAGTCAAACAACATCCGAATGGTCTTGATCTGATCATCCCACTCGTCAGTAGCCACGATGACGTCATCAATGTATGCGTCACACTGGTCAATTCTTCCTGTGATGGAGTTGATAAGTCTTTGAAAGGTAGCTGGTGCATTTTTCAATCCAAAAGGCATCACATTATATTGATATAAGCCTTCTGGGGTAACCAATGCTGATACTTGTTTTGCCCTATCTGTTAACGGATCTGCCAGTATCCCTTCAATAAATCAAATTTGCTTACATATCTAGCTTTTCCTATCCTATCAATACAATCATCAATTCTAGGCATTGGATAGGAATCAGATTTGGAGAGAGCATTGACTCGTTTGTAGTTATTGCATAGTCGAACACCTCCTCCAGCCTTAGGTACAGGTGAAGCATACATGGAGAACTCCAAGCGCTATTGCTGGGTTCGATGATGTTATTGTCCAACATGTATTGAATCTCAGTTCTAAGCTGAGCTAATTTGATTGGGTTCATACGATAAGCATGTTGCTTAACAGGAGTTGACTCCCCTACATCTATGTCATGATAGATGCAATCTGTCCTAGATGGTACATCTGGAAATAAATGTGAGTACTCGTGAATTAACTCCTCCAGTTCTATCTTCTGTTCACGAGTCACATGTGATAACTTAGAATCTAGATTGCTTAAGACATCAGAGTTATTAAGTTTCACATCAGGTTCTTTGCTCTTTGAACAAGAGTCTCTAGCCAATGTATCATTCTCAGTTATTTCTACTGTGTCTATTGTGCTAACACTCACAGTCTTTGGTACAGTTTCAGCATACCTATCATAGTATGGTTTCATCATATTGATATGACAAACTCTTTTGGCCTTCCTCCGATCTGGAGTTTCTATTTCATAATCTGTGTCACTCAATTTCCTGTGTACAAGATATGGGCCATAGAACCTAGCTCTAAATGGATGTCCTGGTATTGGTAGAAGGATGAGTACTTTGTCACCTGCCACAAACTCTCTATGTTCTGCTTTTGTATCATACCAGGTTTTCATCTTCTCTTGACTATCCTGCAGGTTTTGTTTTGCAATGCTACAAGCCTTAGTAAACCTCTCTTTGAAGTTTGAAACGTAATCAAGCAGACTCATTTCTGTATCCTCATCTAGCCACTTCTCCTTCAGGTACTTTAATGGTCCCCGAACTGTACGTCCAAATACTAACTCAAAAGGACTGAAACCCAGTGATTCTTGTACTGATTCCCTAGCTGCAAACAACATGTATGGAATCCCTTCGTCCCAGTCTTTCTGATTGTCTTCACAATAAGCCTTAAGCATATTCTTTAGCGTTTGATGGAATCGCTCAAGAGCACCCTGTGACTCAAGATGATAGGCACTCGAACTGTACTGAGTGATACCTAACTCATTCATAACCTGCTGAAATATCCCAGACATAAAGTTAGATCCCTGATCTGACTGGATGGACTTTGGCAACCCTACTAGAGTGAAGAACTTAATCAACGCTTTGACAATGGCAGGAGTCTTAATGTTCCTTAAAGGAATAGCTTCAGGAAAACGTGTGTAGATGCACACATTATTGTCAACAAATAGACATTTCCTGTCCGTAAAGCGAGGGAGGGGTCCAACACAATCTATTATGATCCTGCTGAATGGTTCTTTCAACCGTTGGAATAGGGTTGCAAGGGATATTTTGTTATCTTCTGGTTAGGTTTACCGACCATTTGACACGTGTGACATGTTCTACAGAATTTCCCTGACATCATTCTGAATTCCTGGCCAATAGAAATGAGTTACGATCTTTTGGTAGGTCTTGTTAACCCCTAAGTGTCCTGCAAGTAAAGTATCATGCCCTAGGCTAAGAATCTCATGTCTATACACTGGTGGAATGACAATCTGGTGCAGTATGTTCCATTCCTCATCTGCTGAACTATCTGAGGTCTCCCACTTCCTCATCAAAACATCTGATTTAAGGTAATAGCATACTGCCTCCCTATGACTATCTTTCTCAGGAAACAGCTTTGTCTCTTAGTAACCTAAGTTCTGGATTCATCTTCTGTTCTTCAATAAGTTTCTCCCTTGAAGCATCACCAATTGGTTCCTCAGAAAATGTGAACTTATCAACAATAGGTGTACTCCCTTTTAGAAACACATCTGTCCTTTATCAGTTTCATCCCCATTTCTAACACTGGAAGGTGTCACTTCCTCACCTTCATCAAGATGACTGATAAAAGTCTCAGATAAATCAATTTCCTGCATCTAGGAATGTCAGACTTTTCTTTGACTTTGCTTTCTGTTGCGCCATAGCCCTAGTAACTGCACAAGAAGGGTATACTCTTAACTTGTCTCTCTCTCCTGCTTGGCACACGGTATCTCACTAACCTTAGGTAGATCAGCTACAACCTTATCTTCTGCAAATATCATTGCCCATGATAAGTGATACACCTGGTACTGGCAACGCTGACATGAGGCCAACCCTAACAGATCCTGTCACTAAATCTGACTTCAAATGGACGCCATGAAGTGGTACCTTAATGTAACCCCCACTTCGCATTAGGACACTGGTTCCTGTAACGCTTCTCAGAAAATGGTAGATAATCTTCTAGCATAAGAGTCTGGAGGGCTCCAGTATCTCTCAGGATATCTACAGGTTTTGAGACAGACCTATCACCCACTAAGGACACCAATCCCTTTGACATAAAAGGAGAATAACCATTTTCAAAAGGGGCCTTGTCTTCCTGCACACCCTCAACATCCACTTGAGACAACTGATGTGATATCACTGAGGCAAGAGCATTTGGTGACTGTTCACTCTGAGATTTGTTCTTCAATTTCCAACATGCACTTAACAAATGTCCCTTTTTCTTACAATAAGAACACACTGGCCCTGAACTCATCAATCCTGCTGACGGGTTTACCTGTGGAGAACTAAGTGCTCTACCTGCCATCTCATTACTGTTAGGACCTCTAGCTGAAGGCTGAGACAATCCATGACCTGTAGCATTACCACATGTAACATTTGACCTTGGAAAACTACTCCCTGAAGCCTTAAAAGAAGAACCATACTTCTACTATGGTACTATGCACTTGTGAGAGTGAAGCCTTTATGTGTAAGTGCATAATCATCTGCTAGAGTAGCTGCTTGCTCTAATGATTCAGCCTTCTGTTCATCCAAATAAGTTTTAATGTCACATGGAATACACCT